CCACAGTACGTAACAGCAGGTCACTTGGTGCTTCTTTGTTTGGCGTACTTATCCATGGGTCAGGTCAAATGAGGTCAACTGAGGTCAAATGACGTTTTTATAACTTGTCAATAACTTGGGACATAATGACGCTAGAGCTAAAAAATAGTGTCATTGTGTTCCTGGTGATCAGCCGAATCGAATGATATGCGATATGATGCAATTTGGTTAACTTGAACTTAATTAATAAATTAAAGTTTACTTAATAATTAAGAAAAACTTTAAATACACTTAAGCAAGCTAAAAGGTACATCATTCGACGCGCCTTGACGTGCTGAGTTCACTGGTGCTTTTCTTTTTGCTCTACCTTAATTAGATCAAAAGTTATAAGCGAAAAATTTTTGATCTGATTTTAGCGAAATTTTTACATTTATACCCCCCAAAACCCCCTTAAATATTGACCTAGAGCAACCAAATTTGCACAGGGGCGAGAACTCCAGGAGGCCCACCTACCTACCAAATTTGGTGTTTCTAGGTGCCATAGGAGTCAATCGCGAGGGGGGGAGTCGCATCGACCCCCCCCCCCTGCCAGGCCGTGTTATAAAAAATGCCCTACCAGGGCGAGGGTTAACCCGCGCCCCGTTGGGCTCTGCCGAGCAACGCGCCCCGTTGGGGGGGGGGGCATTTTGTCCCCCCCCCCCCTAAGATCTCGAGAACCACGCAACCTAGCGACAAGCGGCAAACGGTGTCGGATAGCCCTATCAGGGAACTACCTTGTGACCCAATTTTATTGACCTAGGTCAAACCGATGACGTCACAGGTCAGGTCAAAGGTCCAATTTTCACTGTTTACAGCCATTTCAAGAAATGCGTTGTAAAATCGAGTAAAATGCATTTCATTGAAAATCATCGATGGGAAAATGTTCTTCAAACACATATTTTGCTATTTGAGGTCACTGATACCAGGTCAGGTCACAGAGGTCAGGTCACTGGGGGGTCACAATATGAAAGTGTCGTGTGATACATGTTTTATGGTCCATTTTACATCACAAATGCGATTATGTGGGTCAGGCAGCCTTTGGGGCCAGCTTAGGTCACGTTTTGGTCAAGGTCAGGTCAAGGTCAGGTCAAGGTCAGGTCAAGGTCAGGTCAAGGTCAGGTCAAGGTCAGATCAAATTAGTTTAAATTTCAAAGTTGATATTTTTGCATAAAATGGGTATCGAATCGATGCAGCTCGTCACGGGGAGTTCAATGGTGGTCTTTGTTTTGTCGTACGTGGTCTAGAATCGCTTAAAATTGAGTTCAAAAATTTGACGTCATCATTTTTGAACATATTTTTCGCTATAGCTTGGTCAAAAAACGAGATATCGATCTGAAATTTGGTATGTATATAGAAGAGCGCAGGGACTATCACATATATTCCGGTTTTTTCGAAATTCGGAACATTTTTGATTTTTTTTTTTTAGTTTTTCTTAAAAAACTAATTTTTTGTATTTTTTTGGGTCAAAAACCCAAAATTATGAAAATCCGAGATAGCAGTTTTGTAGCGCCGCCTTTTGTCTACTAAACCATATAAAGAACTTTGAAATTGCTTGATAACTGTAGATTTGGTGAGCGTTTCAAGATTGCATGTTTTTTGCTCATTTTTGCTCGAACATGACCTCAGTTTGACCTCAATAACTCCTGACCTAGGGTGACCTAAGACTTGAAATTTGGTGTGAAGGTGTCAAATTGATGCCCGGGAAGGTACTGATAATTTGGCGGCGCTGCGCGCCGCCGTTTTCTTGCTATTCAGGAAAAACCACAGGGGGGCCAAAATGCCCCCCCCCCCCAACGGGGCGAGGGTTAAAGGAAGTGAATTGCAAAAACGATCTTCAACTGAAATTAATTGAAAACATTTTATCAAGGTCGGCTAACGCAAGACAATGCATTTTCATTTACAATATGCCGGATTTTATCGTAAAATTACCGTTCTTTCGATATTCTCGATTTTTTTCATACCAGGATAAGCAGTCGCCGTGGGACCCCTTTGAGCTGACCTCCGGGCCCTTCTCGGCTGTCGCCCCTCCCTGAGCGAAATCCTGGATACGTGCCTGGACTTGGATGTTGTTAAAGTTGTGCGACATGCGTCATACCTTTCGGAAGCTCCTGAAGCTAGCGGATATAGAATTAAGGTTCCCCCAGTCATAGTCCTAGTCAATCCATTAGCGAGGCAACCCACTGTCTGGAAGACGATTGTGGCGCGTACAGTGCAACGCCAACATCAAGGCTCTTCTGAGAGCTAAAGAACACCTGACGACGGCCGAAGAAGTAACTGACCGAAACGCTGTGAAGCCTCAGACAGGGACGAAAATCCGACTACTAGCATCCGTAATATTAACACGTCGTGTCAAGCATTCCGAAGAAAACTTACTCTTGATTTGCCCAACTGTACTCGTGTCTTCTAGTTCGTCCTTCAGTTCGAGAGATGAATCAAGTCTTGGTCCACTTCAACGAGGCCACGCAGCATTTGGTACATAAGACCATGTCTCTCTGAGCCGTCGGTATGACGGGGATGGTAGCTTCAGCTCTTGAAGTCGTCGTCAACATTGCATCGTTCGGATCTCTAGAGACCAACTTTGTAGCCTCCCTCTGCACTCTTTCCAGCAGCCTCCGACCCCCCTAGTGATATTGGGCCCCATAATGTTTCCATATTCACATTCAAGGCATCATGGTCTTGTATACTTTACAGTATCGGGTCAGGTTTGCAAATGATCTCCAGACGAATCTCTGGTCTGCTTTGCCTTGTTGGCTGCTGAGGGTGCTCGTCTGTTAAAGTTCAGATCCGCATAGACAACAGAACCCAAGCTTTCTCCTCAGGGACAGCAGCAAGTCCCCTTTCAGACAAGACGTGCGTGAATCTGGATTTCCTTGAACCAATGCGGCGTACACAGCATCTGTCGATACTGAAGTGGAAATGCCACCAGGCAGAGCGGCTCCGGAGATTGTCAGGGTCGCTCTGGATTCGCTACAAAGTCTACGATAAACTATATAACTGAGTCGTCAGCAAAGGTCTTGACATTTAGTTACATTTGCTATTCAACAATGGAGAAGTCCGGGTCCGGAAGGCAAGTATGACAGCGGCTTCGGTGGCTGCTCCCCGACGCATGCAGAGTATTCTAACTACGCTCCCTCAGTGCGAAGGGAGTCTTAATTTAACCTGACTGGGAGCCAACTGCAGAAGCGGGAAGCTAACAAATCACTACATGTGTCCACTAAATCCTTGCTACCAATCAAGCCTCATGCTTGACCACGTTTCCGTCTTCTGTAATCCCACCCAGGCAACCTCCGAGGAAACATCCAAGGAAGGTAACAAAGCTGAAGTAACCCTGCGAAATTAGCAAACTACCAATATGCTATTTCGAGGATTATCGTCAGAGAACAATAACATTTTCCCGCACCGGGAATCGAACCCGGGCCTCACGGGTGAGAGCCGTGTATCCTAGCCACTAGACCATGCGGGAGGTGGGCGAAAAATGCATTTGCCAAGGATAGAAGGCAGGGCCTCACAATGAACGCTTCACGTTCGGCGGTTACGGGATGTCATCAAAAAAGGCCTCCTCCATCAACCGCCTCGCACTTTTTTCATCCGATGCTCATAAAAAATGACATAACATGGCGAACACGAAATGCACATCCACAGAATCCAGGATGTCGAACTGTTTTGCGAAAACGTTTTGCATTTAAACATCCATTTAGGACAAATATCAAGGCACTTGTCGATGTCTGTGCTTCCAACCAGGGTTTGACTATCATCAATGATAATGATATCGTTCACACTTAAAACTATAAAACAAACGATGGGAATGATTCCAGGGTATACACTAGACTGAGTCACACACCACCCACTAAAGATGCTTGTTCAACATGGGAGGATCGTCAGCTTTAAAAGCAGATATCGATTAGACGCCTTGCCCTCCGCATAAGGGCCTCATTTCATTGGATTCCCTCGCGTAAGAGCTTTAAAGAGGACTGCGTCTATCACTCTCTGCACAACGAAACTGAATGGGTCGGGGATGATCGCCATAATTGATTCGTTATCCGTCCGTTTGTTTCCATGCACTGCCATTGGCGCAGTGGACTCCTTGAGGACGCCAATGGACTCCAAATGCACGTCTACAAAATGCACGTGTATGGGCGAAACACGCTCAAGCTTCGTGCTTGGCCGCAAAACTTATGTCTAACAAAGTAATGCTGCATTAGGTGGTGCTGTAAAAAACACCCCGACTTCAAGTGGAGTACGATCGCCAATGCCACCAACCCGCCGAATATCGGAGTTGGGCTTGTTTGGCAGCACAGCGCCCAGCTTGGGCTTTCCTGCGTATTGCGGGACAGTCTAACTTGACAGGCACAACTCTAGTAGAGCAGAATGGTTCCGACTCCGTTGACTTTCGTTAGCAAAAGTCCGTATAAATACATGAAAGGAGCCACGAAAGTGAGCGAAAAGGTAATGATAAGCAGCACCGGTTTTTACTATTCCATATCTTGAACAGTCAGGAGCGGAGTTCGAAAATGTCTTTGCGCAAAAGATGAAAGAAAAAGCCGGCTATAATGGAAGCCGGCTATTAGCCGGCTATTATGGAAGAAAGCGTTAATTGGAATTCGAGGACAGCAAACATAACAAGAGCAGCCCGACTATGCTATCGGAGAGTGCAATTTCGAGAAACTGCCAAATCGTAAGCACCTATTGGAAAGTCAAGGAAAATTCATTCGTACGTGCCCCTATATTTGGGGCACCAGTGATAGGACAGACGACAGTGGCAAATCACCGTATTAATTAATAATTGCACAAGCATGATTCCAAACGTGTGCAGTAAGCCCAGCTATCAGACTGCAAAGTTAAAAAACGACGAAGTGTGAAAATATCTCAGAGTCAAAGTAGCGTGGCGAGACAGAAGGTATAGTCTCCCCCTTTTGCCCGAGAGCGTGGACAAACAGCTCACAGATCCTCTGACCCGTGAGAGCCAGCCCATCCCACCTCACCTGTGAGAGCGTGGTGAGCGGGTCGCCGCCGCTGGCGTGCAGTGAGAAGGCGTTGAAGGTGAAGACTCGGACGTTCTCCAGGCCGTGCAGCAGCGCCGGCGCCAGGTACTCAGTGTGGCACTGTCCCGGCCGGCCGGCCAGCAGCAGACGCGGCATGTAGGCCTCGGCACGGCTGTCCCGACGGCGGACACGGTCACACACACACTCATCAACAACAATCGAAACTAACTACTCGGCCGTGAGGGGTGCAAGTCGGCTGCTATGGACGGCAACCCAAGAACAGAAAGAATTATATTCACTTCATAATCATTTAGCAGAAAGAATGATTTTCGCCATTCATTCAGGCTATCTGACTATAATCTAACTAACTGCGCACAGGTGAATGACATGAGGAAAACCAAATACATACATATCATGATACAACACAAATTTAGCCCATCCATTTGCACACGTTGAGGTCCACTCCTCTCCTAGCGAGTTATTACGCACCTGAGCTCGGCGGCAGTCTGTTTGTAGCCCCAGGGGAAGGCGGTGCGGAGTGCGGCGCGTGCCGCGGCCAGCGGAGCGGCCAGCAGGGGACGGACGGCGGCAGGCAGCAGGCGGCGCTCCTCGGTCCGGTCCCTCTGACCGGCCGGCGTCATCCGCGCCATCGCCGCACGGAAGTGAGACGGCTGCACCTGAGGACGGAGGCGGGTGGCGTGTCAGGTCAGCACGGACGCTCTGAGGCGGGGTAGTGTGCTAGTCCCGGTCGCTGGTTGTAGAGCGACCGGCACTATTTGGTTATTCTGTACAGGTGATTACAAATTGATGTTCCACTTCTCATAGGCGGTCAGTTGCCTGGAACGGTAGGCTGTGCCCAGCGGCGTATTTAGAAAATCGCGAAGGGGGGGGGGGGGGGGCCAAGGGTTTGGAGGGCGCCACCTCACCCCAGGAGGGCGCCATACGGTCGCGAGATAAAAATCCGCTCAGCGGGGGGGGGGGGGGGGTGGAGGCGTTTTTTACCACGCCACCAGTTTTTTTTTTGCGTGACTTGGTTATTGGTATATAGGTATGCTGCATTGATTTGGCATCGTGTCTATTTTGTTTTTACTCCAGGCCAAAAAAGGTCAAGTCACCCGCTCAGCTTAAGTGACAATGCTTAAAACTTTTTTAAGTTAGATCACTTGACATGACCTGATGACCTTGCTTTTAGCGACTATGGTTTGCATTTTTAGAGCACGTGTAAGAGCAATGTACCAAAAGGTGTGCCCCTCCCGCTCACCCACTTCCCTCTCTCCCCCAGGAAAAAAAAACGGAAGCTCGTAACGTAGTGGCACCTTTTTCGGATCTTTTTTAACCGCATGTCTGAAGAAACCTCCTGGCGCAGGTTCATATCACACGTGACAAAAAGGTTGCAAGTTATTGGCATAGGTACTAAGTTCCTAGTAAAGAAGAGTTTGTGAAATGCTGCGCCGAAGGCGCGCGAAATTTTTGAAAACAACCCTTTCCTCCGCTTTTTAGGCACATCTTTTGCGTGCTCACTGTTCAAAGCTCTTCCCGCTCTTTTACCAAATTTGAAGGTGTAAAAAATACCTAAGGTTTGGTGGGGCCGGTGCCACACAAGCTGTATAGAAAGCTTCGCCGATGGGTGACGATGTAGAAAAGTTTATTGGCGGTGGCATACATACACACCAGATCACCATATCGGATTGATACCGGAGCGCGAGGTGCGTAAACACAAGCGCACAACGAGAAGGCGGCAACAACAGAAAGAGAAACCATAACAGGGCTGTTCCTCATGAGTCTGAGATCGATTAGCCTTCTCGGGCTTCTCATCCAAATTACCTCGACCAGCCCTCATGACCTTCTCACAGATGCATACAGTGTTGAGCACCTTCAATCACCGAAACTTGGACGCCAATGGGTAGAAGGGCGGCGATCAAAAGGGGAGCGCCAATAGGTAAGAAGGCTCCGATCAACAATCAACAGGAGGGTGCCACCATGGGTGAGAGGGCGGCAAGGAACAGGAGAGCACCAATAGATAGGAAGGTGGCGATCAACAAGAGGTCGCCAATGGGTAGGAGGGCGGTCATCAACAGGAAGTCGCCAATGAGTGGAAGGGTGACGATTAACAGAAGGGTGGCAATGGTGAGGAGGGCGCCTTTGCCCAAGAGGATGACATTGAACAGGAGGGCGTCTGTGAGGAGGGCGCCGATTTAACAGGAAGGTGCCAGTGGATAGGAGGGCGGCGATCAACACGAGGGCGCCAATAGGTAGAATGCCCCTATTAGCATTCAACAGGAGGGACTAGGAAACCAATAGGTAGGAGGGCGCCAATGGCTAGAAGGGCGGCACTCAACAAGAGGGTGCCAAAAGGGAGGAGGGCGGCCATCAAAATTTCACATGAGGGCGCAATAGATAGGAGGGCGCCAATAATTATGAGGGCGCCGACCAGCAGAAGGGTAGCAATGTGTAGCAGGGTGGCGACCTACAGGAGGGCGCCTTCGGGACTCGGGTGAGAGGGCGCCTATTTACAGGAGAGCACCAATAGGTAGGAGTACACCGATCAAATGAGGGCACCAGTGGGCAGGAAGGCAGCGATCCTATAGGCTTACGTATCCAGTCGCGATTGTTTTTCGATTCGATTCTATCACAATTGCATTCGCGATTGGAGGGCGCCTTCGGCGCCCTCCAATCGCAAAGGGCGCCTTCGGCGCCCAAGGGGGGGGGGGCCATGGCCCAGTGGCCCCCCCCCCCTGCCTACGCCCCTGGCTGTGCCGCATAACACAGACTGAGTGACGCAGTGTAATGCTGTGACCCCACTCTCACTATAGGCACGATTAATTTTGTGATAAGCGGCACAGTCTGGCGTTCCAGAAAACTGATAGATTGGGAGAATGGGAGCATCATTCTGAAGTTAGCTGTACTAAACATGCACCTACCTAATACCTACCTATCCGTACCAATTGTCCAGTAGGTATCCATCCAGCGACGGTATCAGAGACGAAGTCGAGTAACAGTGTTCTACATGCAGTAGATATGATCAAAATGGCGACGTCAAAAACCAAGGAGTCGCGTGACAGTGTTAGGTCAGCCCGAAACAATGAAAACGGGAAGATGGTATCGTAGGCCGTATACAACGTTCCAAAACGAGGATATGTGTAGAGCTTACTGTGAACCACAACATTTCACTCCTCGATAGTATAGTGGTGAGTATCCCCGCCTGTCACGCGGGAGACCGGGGTTCGATTCCCCGTCGGGGAGGTTTTGTGACCCCCCTCTCCCTCCCATGCACTGCACCCCGAATTTGTGTCTTTGTATAAAAGCCGGCAATTGGTGCTTTTTTATTCAGGCAACATTTGCAGCAAGCATGCAACGAACCTGGCTGCAATGACAAGAGCACACCACATGGTGGTCGTTTTGCAACTGAAACTGCAACAACAGCCACCAATGCTGTCACTTTGATCAGATGGTGGAGGTGTAGTTACAGCCGTCATTCAGTCTCGGCCATCTTTGGTTATTCTTTTTTATAGCGCTGAAAAAGCATAAAGCACAAAACACAGCCATTGCAGTTAAGTACCTAAGTCGCGTTGCCCCCAGACATAGAAAACAACCTTCATGTTCGCTCGGTCACGGGCAGAAGTGGCAGAGTCAACAATCGCTCGTCTCCTAGTAAAACAGCGTGTAGCCGACCGAGCTTTGCACGCCCCCCCCCCTTGTTCAGAGTTCTTGCACCTCGTGGTGGTCGTACTTGTGCCTTCTGCTAGCGTTGGGTGCGTGGCGGAAGGCCGTGTAGGTATGTAGTGTCCCTGTTCGTGGAGCCGAAGCGGTTCACCACACCGCACCAATGATGCTTGAGATGCCGGTGGTGCGCAGCCTAGTTGACCACGTGCGGTGACGTATCCAGATATTGTAGAGGAAACTGGACATTGATTCTTCATTCACGCGCCGTCGGAAGCGCTATACGTAAACGATTAGTAGGCACTGGTTGAAGACATCAAATGTCCAGCCGCTTGGTAGCCCCATCGTTGTTTTGGCACTGGGCAACTCCAACCACTGATCGTGTCGTCCGCCACGTGAAGCTGGATGCACTCGTGGAGCAAGCATCGGCTGGATCTGACTGGCATCGGCACGGAGAGGTGTCAAAATGCCTTGAACTTCGCCGACTGGTTTCCGCAGCTGACGCAGCGCAGCACGGACTCGTACTGACCCCAGAACAGCTTCGAGATGGAGGACCGGCTGCCACCATTGAAGTCGTACTGGGGCACTTTGGCGACAATGACGTCTCGGACATGATCATGCTCTCTAGGCACTTGTTCCCAGGGCGCGTTGTTAAGTGCAGATAGTCCAGGAGGCATATGAAAGCTCGTTTGCTTCCTGCTACGCTGAAGTCGTGAAAACGGGCGAGGCGTCGGATCACAGTATCATTTGAGTTGAAGTACAGCGAAATTTGGATGTTCACAAGTGGAACATTGGGCAAATCCACGGTACCTACTTGGGGTCATGGTAGACTGACGACGGAAGGCAAGAGCTATCATGATTCATGTAACCAGACACTTGCATAATTCTTACTGAATCTATGAAATCCATGAATCCATGAATTTCCTTGCACGGTACCTACAATAACCAGACAATTGAAAGCTTTTCCCTCGCGAATTTTAAGCCTTTTTGGAAACGACCAAAACCCGTTTGTCGGGTGAATGAAGACAGCGGCCGATGGATAGTGCCACGATACATTGCGTGCAGACTAAAACAATAGGCATGTGACGTGTATGTGACGTATGTAGATTTTATCAGAGGCAGAAATGTTGGATTATCAGGCATAACGTTCCTAGCCACATCCATCACTCCTCGATAGTATAGTGGTGAGTATCCCCGCCTGTCACGCGGGAGACCGGGGTTCGATTCCCCGTCGGGGAGCTTTTTCTTGGGCGAGGGGCCACGAGAATGATCTCCAGCAGTCATTAACACTACCCGGCTTAGAGCGAAGGGGAAGAGCCAGTGCCAGCCCTCGACAGATTTTATTCGCGATAGCTAGGGCGATGGAGAGCTGGAAAATGACTCAAGTTGATTCAAGCCAGATTTTGACACCAATCGCATTTCCGGACCTGTCACTGACCTATGACATCATAAGGGAAACTGAAAACTGCACGGAAATGTGAAATTTGAGGTCACGTGTCTGGTCAAGGTCAGGTCAAAGGTCGACATTCAGTATATTCAAGTTGAGCTTTTTAGCAAACGTAGCGTTGAAGGTACCGACACCAGTTTTTGCTCAAATACTACTAACAAAAGGCTGCTGAAGCTATTCCAGAAGTGCTGAATTGACACAAAGTTTTTTCTCAAGGTCAAGCATCAAGGTTAGGTTAAAATAAGGTCACTGACTTTAAGTTATAGAAGTGGCTTGAGGCACATGCTTTCTGACCAGTTTTAGACATAGATTTTGTGTGAGTCGCGTAAAACTAATTTTAGCCGTTAAAGGCAAATATTAGGAAGTCAGGTCAAATCGTCAAATTTTCAAGTTGTGCAATTTCAAAAACAAAGGAGCCTACCATATGCAGATTGAGCTCATGAGGCAACCAGTGTCTTTTGTTTTTGTATAAAACGGTTATAGCTTTGAAAATGGCATTTAAAAGGCGAGCAATTGCGTCATCATTTAGCAAAATTTTGAGGTAAGTAAGCTTTTCATTTATTTGGGGAGTCACATTTTAAGATATCTCCTGGAATTTGGCATAGTGGTTTACCTCTAATAGCTGGGGCGTTCCACGACAAATCGACAAGTGCCCTGCACCCTCATATATTTTTTTTTTTTGCACATAATTGGTCTAATAGGATGTGATGGGCGGGGAAGCCAACTGTGGCAAGGATTTTTTCTTCGAACAACAGTTTCCGAGATATAGCCTTGGGCAATTCCTGGAGGTCACGCTGCAACCCTACGTTTGGCGGCTTATATCTCAGAAACTATTGGTTTTCAATGGTAAAAGCTTTATATGGTTCAACTCGCGATCACCCATCAAACAGTTTAGCTATCTCGGATTTTCAATTTTTGAAAATTTTGATCACGTGACCTCTTGACCTATTTTTTTTAAGAGTGACCTTGATATTTTCCCACAGAAAGATGCAATTTTGTCTGATGACGATTAAAGCCTTACCAATTGTAATTCATATGCGATAATAAAAAAAGTGGTTATCGGCCTGCGTTGACCTCAGGTCAGGTCATTTTTGTGACCTGCATTTTATAAGTCAATGGCAGAAATATCGGCTACCACCGAAACGCATCTGACCGGTTCAAATACTTATGAATTATGTTGAGTTAGGCTATTATTGATGGCACTGGTGCAGCTTTGCATCAGTGACCTGCTGAAAGGCCATCCGAGGTCTCCCGTTGAACACACGACAATAATTGTCCTTTTTTGGTTGTACCTTTTGATCTAATAAAGAAAGAGACGTGGAACAGGCACCATTGTGTTTGCTTTGGCCTAGCGCAAATTCGCTTTGAATTTCGATATTGATGGCCTAAGGTCAGGTCAAATTCTTGACCACCCCATTATAAGTCAATTGGGGAAAAATCAGCTCCCTTATTTTTAAACTAAAACGCGTCGGAATTGCCTAATATACCATGAGTGACTTCATATAAGATGAACTTTGACTACCTTGACTTTTTTTGCTCTTGGGCAACTGTAAGGTCTTGTGAGGTCATTAAAGGTCACCAAAGGGTTTTTGCTAATAACTCCTTACAGGTTTGAGATACAGCTGCGCAGATGGGGCTCATTGTGTTCAGCTCGTCAAGGCGCATCGAATGATATACATGATGACCTTGTCACGTGACCTTAGGTCAACTTTTGACCTTGACCTTTCGAGGTCAACATACATTTGCTTCGATGCGGATCGACGAGGGGATCACGATGGTGCTATTAGTTTGTTCCTAGCTGGAATACTTTGAATGTTATTCGAGAAAAACTTCCTGTATATGTAGTGCCGCTATTTTGACTTTCTTTTTACCCCTGTGAAATAATCTTTGACATGACCTGAAAATGACCGCAGTAAAAGTTGTAGACCTTATCCGTGTGTACCCTGTACCGTTTACCGCTTGTCGCTATCTTGCTTTGTTCTCGAGATCTCGCTGTCGCTCCCGCTCGTAATATTGGATCATAAAAATGATCATAAAAATGACCTGACCTGAGGTCAACGCAGGCCGATAACCGCTTTTTATTATCGCATATGAATGACAATTGGTAAGGTTTTAATCGCCATCAGACAAAATAGCAACTTTCAGTGGGGAAAATATCAAGGTTACTCTTCGAAAAATAGGTCAAAAGGTCACGTGATCAAAATTTTCAAAAATTGAAAATCCGAGATAGCAAAAATGTTCGTTGGGTGATTGCGAGTTGAACCATATACAGTTTAATCAAAGAAAACCAATAGTTTCTGAGTTATAAGCCGCCAAACATAAGGTTGCAGCGTGACCTACAGTAATTGCCCGAGGCTATATCTCGGAAACCGTTGTTCGAAGAAAAAAATCCTTGCCACAGTTGGCTTCCCCGCCCATCACAACCCCTTAGACGAGTTTTAAACGAAAAAAAGCATGTGGGTGCAAATTTAATTTTTGATTTGTCGATTTGTCGTGGAATGTCCCAGCTGTATTATTAGATATTACTATGGATTATACACGTCCATTTTTGAAAAAAAAATGAAACTTAATTATCTTGCCGAAAACTTTTTAAAAGCGCAGTTTTAATTTAGGGAAATCTGAAATCCATTAAAAAATACGCCGTGGAGAGATTTAATCAGTAAGACCACTTTATATCGTGACAAAAATCGATCATTACTTTAAAAAAAAAACACGACGATTCTAAACAAAACTTCTACAGACAATGTAAAACTGATATGGGAGGACCTAAGAGAAACCTTCAGGTCGATCATGTGATTTCTCGAGTTCTCGAGTTATCGGTAAAAGTCGGCGGGGGGAGGGGGCTCTTAAACTGTCAATGGCGGCCATTTGAAGGCCTTTCCCCTGGCGTAGATATTCCCAAAAAAGCGTTCTTGGGGTATTGTCCAACAACATATCAGAACCGGTTGACGCACGACCAAACAAGGCAGCTCACTGGAAACTGTACTTCTGTACGAACATTGCATGCTGGCTTATGCAATGGGTAAATGACGTGTACGATTTTATCAACGTGAAAGACGCGGCAAAGCTACCCTCGTGCTAGTGATTATCACATTCACTCCTCGATAGTATAGTGGTGAGTATCCCCGCCTGTCACGCGGGAGACCGGGGTTCGATTCCCCGTCGGGGAGCTTTTAACCTTCAGGCGGCGGTGGGGGGGGGGGCATTTTTTGCCCCTCCCCCTTTAGTTTTTTTTTCGATATATCTCCAGAACCGCTGCGCCGATCGTGACCAAACTTTCAGTACCCTCCCGTGAATAGCTATTGCACATTGTGACCAAAAATTTTCCAAAGGTTGTGATAGATTGGCCGCTAATGACGTCAGAGTGACGTCATTTCTGCCATTTTCGACCCAAAAAACGGTTTCGCGGGAAGAGCTGTCAGGCCTACAGCTTTAGAGATACAGAAAAATGTTTCTGACATAAACGGTGTAGATTGACAGGGCTACAAAACAGCTATCTCAGATTTTTGAACGTTTTGGATTTTGACCCCCAAAAATCAAAAAATATATTTTTTGAATAGAATACCCGAAAAATCCAAAAAGTTTTTGAATTTCGAAAAAACGGAACATATGTGATAGTCCCTACCGCCTTCTATCTACATACCAAATTTGAGATCGATACCTCTTTTTTGGCCAAGTTATAGCGAAAAAACTGTTCCAAATTGATGACGTCAAATTTTCAAACTCAATTTTTAGCAATTCTAGACCTCGTAGCGCAAAACAAAGACCACCATTAGACTCCCCGTGACGAGCTGCATCGAATCATTACCCATGTTATGCAAATCTAACAACTTTGAAATTTGACCTTTTTCTACCTGACCTTGACCTGACCTCCACCAGAAAGTGACCTAAACCGTACCTGATGGTCTTATAACCAACACCATTGAGTTGGAAATGAAAAATTGGCCATAAAACATGCATCGCACAACCTTAGTAAAGTTGGGTTCATATGGTGACCCTTGGTGACCTGACCTGTGACCTGACCTGGTATGACCAGTGACCTCTAATAGCAACATAGGTGCTAGACAACTGACGCCCTATCGCTGATTTTCGACAAAATGCGTTTTGTTCGGCGTTATAGCGCTTTCCCTAGAAGACCCGTGAACGGTGAAATATTTTATCTTTGACCTGACCTGTGACGTCATCGGTGACCCCGAGTTCAATAAAATTTGGCTTCCCTCAACAAATTTGGCAGGGCTATCGAACGCCGTTTGAATTTTCCGGATCCCTCCAGTAGTTTTGGAGATACGGGGGGGGGGCAAAAAAAATGCCCCCCCCCCCCACCGCGCGGAAGGTGGCCGGGAGGCCCACCGCCTGCCGGGTTAAAAGACCCCCCATTCTGGGACTTGGGCGCCTCGATGCCGCAGGGAGGAAATGTCGCCATCGGAAATCTTATCACTCGGCTCGCGTACCGTACCGGTACTCGGTGGCGCGGGAACCGGGGGGGGGGGGGGGGCTAGCGGGGGCTGAGCCCCTCCAACTTTTCGGCTGGGAGGTGGGGTGGGGGGGGGCTCGTAATGTATTTGAGCCCCCCCCCCCCCCCTTCCCAGCTGGAGGAATCGAAATCGGAAATCTACCAGCATAATTTCATAGATTCATACATGGGCGCGGGAACCGGGGGAGGGGGCAGTGGGGGAAGCTTGCCCCCACCGCCCCCACGGTCCCACAACTTTTCATGAAGTCAGGAACCGTTGGGGCAGCTTGTCCTCCCCAAATTAGGTGTTGTGGGTCACAAAGGAAGAAAGCATGTGTGAAAAATCCACCTCCGTCCACCGTGTTCCATCATATGTCAACGCCTCATTATATCCCCCAGTGAGCCAAACCCTCCGTTCGGCATTGGCCGCCTCACCTGAATCTGGTCGACGTCGATAAGCAGGCGCTGTTTGCTGCCGTAGATCTGCGGGTAGCGCTCGCGCAGCGCGTGCAGCACCGCCTCTGTGACCAGGTGTTTGAGGTCGGCGCCACAGTAGCCGGCCGTCTGGCGCGCCAGCCAGCACACGGTCGGCTCGGGCACCGGCGGCCGCCAGGAGCCCAGCTGGATGCGCAGGATCTGCTCTCGCGACTCGAGCGGCGGCAGCGGGAAGTGGAACTCGCGGTCGAAGCGGCCGGGTCGGCGCAGCGCCGGGTCCACGCTGTCGGGCCGGTTGGTGGCGCCGATCACAATCACCTCGCCGCGCGAGTCCACGCCGTCCATCAGCGCCAGTAGTGTGGACACGATGGACGCGTGGATGTAGTCCTGCTTGGACGAGCGCACCGGCGCCAGGCCGTCCACCTCGTCGAAGAAGATGATGGAAGGCCGCATCTGGTACGCCTGCAGATGGGAGAAGGTAAGATAATTAGAAGTCACAACAATTTTTCGTTCAGTGTTTTATGAGCGACACGAGTTCAGCTAAAAACGACCCGACGAAACTAGTATGCCGAGTGCCGACAGTCACCAGTGCAATACCACTAACCTATAAACAGTGAGCAATGAGGATATATGCTAATGGAAAGGCTGGAAAAAGGATTGAAAGATGAAACCACTTACCATTGTGAGCAATAATTTCATCTTTGAACGTTCGAGTAAGTAGCAAACCTTTCCGGCACCTGGGCTGCAGTATGAACCAAGCACCTGAAGGTGGAAAAACGGAGGTATCCGCGACAGGGTGTAATCTAATACGCACAATAGAACAAGGAGACCACGATCGTGCAGATAAGCCTGTAGGTGAAGCAAGAGCCAAAAGCTCCCCGACGGGGAATCGAACCCCGGTCTCCCGCGTGACAGGCGGGGATACTCACCACTATACTATCGAGGAGTGAGAGGCGGGATAAGATCCTCGATTCGGAGCGAAGGCAAACCCACTCCCATATCGCATAAAAACAAATAAATAAATAAATAAATAAATAAATAGTAATATTGACCGTCCCACCACACTGCCTGGCTGAGGAACCGTCAGAGGCACGATAAATCAAGGCAAGATTCTTCTCTAATAATCAAGACCACTCCTAAAGCTACAAGCAGTTACATGAAAGGCTCTTTACCATCGGGTGTCTCACCACATCCGATGGATACTCACATCGGGGATACTCACCACTATACTATCGAGGAGTGAGGGCTACGACTGGAGTCTCAGTTCGGAGCGAAGGCAAAAAACTTACATGAACGCATCAAGTAACACAAAAGCTCACCGAATGCTGATAGAGATAACCGTACCTCCTTCTCTTCGTTTATTCGAGAAGCTTTCGGAAGCTATACTGCTTCCTTCGTCAGCTCGTTAAAAACTAGATACAGTGAAACATAATACTATCTGAGTCGTTTCGCTTCAAAGTTCAAACACATTGCCAACATTAACCGGCTGAAGCTGGCACACGACCTTTCTCAAAGTCACAAGTCAAGACAGGACTTAACTCGTCTCTTCTTATTAATACTACCTCGTCATGCAACACAGCGGCCTGGAGAGCTCTACGCCACCAAGGAAGATGGTTGGGGACGGCTGCCGAATCTCACGGATGTTTCTTCTTCGGTCTCGCCCCACTTGACTTGCCGCCCTGAAACCAACACTGCCATGCCCGGCAGGCCAGGAAGCTTCGACACATACATGCACAAACACTCGCTGTCCACACTTTGTGATCCAGTCGGGTTGAAACGCCTGTTGCCCTTGACAAGATCAGGAAGACGCTCGAATTTTCCTGTGAGATACCTTGTGCTCTCCCCACTCCCAGACGGAGCAGACCACAACCGACCATAACATACCAGAGCACCATGACCTCTCTTCAAGGCGTCTTCTCGACCCAACCGAGGAAAGTTTTCTTATGGGCAATGGCAAGGGCCAAGGACCCGAGCAAGACCGTTAGAAAGACGCCTCATCTCCTCTTCACCATCGCCCCACTAGACCTTTTACTCATCGCTGTCGCCTATTGGAAGACCGAGGCCAAGCCCTATTGGAAGACAGAGCCCTGGTGCAAGACGACGTTCCCTTGCCAGGGCTGCCCTGAAGCGTCGTCTTACACCAAGCCTTTACCTTCAAGTCCTACTAGAAGACAAGGCCCTGGTGCCAGACGAAGCTCCCTCTCCTGGCACAAAGCACAAACCCCCCTGGAAGACTCAACCCTGGTGCAAGACGACACTCCCTCTGCACTCTGCAAGGCGTCCGGCAGTTTCAGAGGTAGCAGTCCGTGTCCGGACGCGCCCGTCGCATATCTACTTAAATACATACCTGAACAAACGCTGTGTCACCCGGCCTACTATCCGAGGCTGTTCGGCGGTGACATCACGTTGCCCCGCCACCTGCGCTGGGAGGGGTCGGCTAGGCTGGCAACGGATGGCAACGGACAACCTTTACCCGAAACTCCCTGGTACCTGCCCATCACGCGGAACCGCGAGCCTGATGGCAGCGGCCTTCCCGCCAGTTGGGAGTTGCATATAGACCAGTCAACCGGCGGTGCGCCCGGACAGGAAATTTTCTTCCGTCGGCCGCTGCGCCGGCAGGACGAATGCTTGGCTTCAGACACCTTGTTCTCGGCAACTGCCGCCGGCCTATGTCGTTTCGGAGTTTCGGTGTAAGACGTCGAGGAATCTGGCCGTTCGGCAGGTGTCAAGAGCCATCAAACGCGATGGCGACCCGCAGGCAGCGACAGCCAAGACAAACTTCAACGAAAATATAAAAATCCCTGAAATGCCAGCCTCCACTGAGACTGACCTCAAAAGACCAGACATCACAAAAACCATCCTCGCTGAAAACGCCAGATCCTCAAAAAGCAGACCATCCACAGCCTGTGTTGAAATTACGGAATCGCACACACTCGTAAGCTGGACAAGGTGTCAGATAACAATTTGAAAAAGCTCCCCGACGGGGAATCGAACCCCGGTCTCCCCCGTGACAGGCGGGGATACTCACCACTATACTATCGAGGAGTGAGAAACACAGACGAAGAGTGGTTTCGGGAAAACGCGGGGACGGTTGAGACCTCGCCAAGTCGTTGCAAGTGGCCCGGCGCGGAAGTCGCCGAGCACCGGCCCGGCGCGGGATAAGTTATAAGCATCACAGTATCTTTGAGTTCCTTCTTCCCATCCATCCTCGCCATTCTCAGGATAGGCCTATCCGCAAACCCCTCAGTCCTCACGCTCCCTTTCAGGACTGGCGGTCATCCGCCCCAGAAAACCGGTGATGAGGTCGGGTTCACACCAGGACCACTCCCTCTCCGGGGTGACTGCTCGAGCGGCAGGGCGACTTGTCCCACCAGGACGGTCTCGCCGCGGCGGCGCACCGTCGGTGGTCCCCACAGGCGACATCCCAGTGCCTACACCCTATCCTGTCATCTCATAGCTCTGCTATGGCCTTTTCAGGCTGAAAAGGCTTGCTCCCAACAAAATAAACAAAACTCCCTTGTAATTTATATCCTGTCCAACTGGACGCCTTGACTGGCAACTACGTTTACAAGGCTATGGTGACAAGGTGTTGACTTGTGGCGTGATTATCAAGTGAGCTCTTACACCTGCATTGAAAATGGGGTCAGCTGAGTCCCGACGGGGCAATCAAGCCCCCTTGCATGACACGCGGGAATATTGAATATCCATCACTATATGCAGGTTTTATCTATTGCAAGAAACGAAGACAGTAACCCGGTTTACATAGCATATTTGACGAGGCTCTAGCTCGTTAATTTGGCGATAATTTCGATGCAGTGGTCTTCAAATATTTAGAGGGGATCATTTTGAAAATTGTTCAGCACCATTGGCATCTTTTGCAACATCACGGACGGAGATATAAGCTTGCAACAAACCCTATGTAAACCAGGGTTTGGTGTTTGTTTAATTTTTCAAATAAACAAACATAAACAAACTGTTCACGAACAAATGTGTTCGCGAACAAGTGACGTCATCGGTCAAATTTTGGTAAACAAACAACGAACAGTTCGCGAACGTTCATGAACTGTTCGCGAACACGGTAACGAGGGGGTAGATAAGACCCCCTCCTTAGCCATTTCGCTCCTAATTGAGATAGAACCCTGCGGAAAAAGCCAGCGTGTGCGTCTTTACGAACCAAAGCGATTGGTATCCGATTTCAAGGTCTTGCACCAACCGGTGACCCCTGAGGTCAGGTCAAGTGTCATAAAGTAGGGGTTTGGTTTTTGGTAAATACCTTCGCCACAAATGGGGGTAGAGCCGCGATTGTGGGACCATCGTGCTCGTCGTGGCCAGGCGCGTCGAATGCTATACTTTTTGTTTGGATTAGGTCTTTTTAGGATGTTGACCTCAGGTCAAGGTCAGGTCAAAGCCACTCGGGTCACAAAGCTTCATGGAGGATGTCATGCTGCATATCATTCGATGTGGCAGTTCTTTCTGAGTCAAGTGATGGCTCAACCGACTCGCTAGCTCAATTTGATCGGAAGTTATTAGCAAGAAGCTCCTACTGCACCAGCAACATTAGTAGCGTCTTATATGACGTCATGCAAGGTCTTAAATGCACAATTTAAGCCTCAGCGTTGCAAGAATAATTATGAATCACGATTCCATGTGCTTGAGATATGACTGGTGCATTTTTCACATGTAAAACATGTCTGCAGTCATGTCTGCGCCGTATGATAACAATTGCTAGAAAGATATAAGAAATGATGACTTGTTCATGAACGTTCATGAACGTTCACGAACTGTTCGTGAACAGAGAATCGTTGGTGAACATGTGACCTTGAATGCCAAAATTCGTAAACTATCAAATAAACAAACAAACAAACATTGTTCACGAACTGTTCATGAACAAATATACAAACAACAAACCCTGATGTAAACGCGTCTAATGTTCGGGGCGAAGGCACTTACTATAAGAAACTCCCCGACGGGGAATCGAACCCCGGTCTCCCGCGTGACAGGCGGGGATACTCACCACCATACTATCAAGGAGTGAGTGGCGACCAAGGAGTGTCGATTCGAGGCGGAGGCAAAAAGTACTCCAATAAACTCATCCCATAAACACTCAACAAAAAAGTACCCCGGTCAACTTTGTGACACAGAGGGGCAGGGCTGCGGAGTCGGAGTCAGAGTCGGAGTCGGAGTCGGTCGGAGTCGATTTTAGAAACCCGAGCCGGAGTCGGAGTCGGAGTCACCGAAAATCTGTCGACTCCGCAGCCCTGCTAGGCCTGCGGAGTCGGAGTCGGGAGTTGGAGTCGGTCCGAGTCGACAATTCTGCCCGGAGTCGGAGTCGGAGTCGGAGCTGGTTTTTGAAAGCCGGAGTCGGAGTCGGAGTCGGAGTCGCCGAAAATCCATCGACTCCGCAGCCCTGCAGAGGGGTAACTAGCACTAACTGGCTGGGGAAACCGATTACCCAAGTCCCCACAATAGGTATCACACCGTACCTTCCTCACACCCCTCGCCGTTCAGTGTAGACAAGCGAGTTGATCCCATTCCCTCATGGCTCATCCCTTGGATTCTTATGTCACCAAGCCTGCGTTTGCTTGTGATCCAGTCGAGTCTGAACCCCGCAGCGCGGCGGCGCAGTCGGCAGACACTCGTCAAGGACCAAGCCAAGGCCCTGGCCTATATAGGGTCAAGGGCAAGCATCGAAGGAAAAGTCGTCCTCACCTGATCGAAGAGGAGGCGCAGCTGACGCTCGCTCTCGCCGACCCACTTGCTCAGCACGTCGGCGCCCTTGCGCATGAAGAAGGCCACCTTACGGTCTCCGACACTGCACTCGTTGGCCAGCGCCCGGGCCATCAGCGTCTTGCCGGTGCCTGTCGACGCAAAGCAGTGGCGGTTAGCAAAAGACAGTGGCATGTTTGCTAAGATTAGTTATGCTTCAGGATGAATATGAAACGATAATCCTTCCAATGTTTAATGTTCACGTCGATGCGTATTGCGTGAAATACTGATCATTACTTGAGTGTTTCATACCTCACCAGCAAAAAAAAAAAAAAAAAAACTCCAGGAGCTTAGCAATGATCACAAGACAGCACGCCTTTGAAAAACTTGTGCCAGGATGTATCACCAATCTATCGCACACTACACAGTGCGGTGTGCCATACTAAAGCACACAACATTGCACACCAAAGTACCTATTGTAAGCGTGCCCCAAAGGCTTCATAACAGTTTTACCTAACAACGGTCTACTGCAGCGCCCCCCTTGTCTACGGATAATTACGAATCCATCCCGGCCCTTGGACACATTCAGCACGCTTCCCCAGCACCTAAGATCCACCCCACGGCGCTTATGTTTCACCCCACAACATCGAGCTCCACCCTATGGTACATGACCTCCGGCTCACCTGGCGGTCCGCAGAAGAGGACGCCCTTGGGCGGCGTGATGTTCTTGCTGCTGAACACCTCCGGGTACAGCAGCGGCAGCAGGATCATCTCCTTCAGGTCGCGGATGTGCTCCTTCAGACCGCCGATCGTGTCGAAGTTCACAGTCCTGTGGAAAGGGAGACAGTCACGGTAAGTGAAGAGTGTACTTCATTGGTCTGCCTTGGTCTGAGCTTGTCTGGGTAAGTCTCAGTCGAGACAGCCTGGTCAGGTTGGCTGTTTGTTGGAAGATAGACGAGACAAGCTGGTCCATAAACACGAGGTGGAGTAGGTGGAGGTCTTTACCATGAACGGTACAGTTCCCCTTAATCATATACGGGGGTTCACGAGCATTTTCCCATTGGCTAGTTCCAGCCGGACCAATAGGAAAGGCGGCCCATCAAGCCTCAGGAGCCCTGGCGCCGTCCACATCACATGAACCCAGCCCCTGTAGCGCTGACCCATAAGTGACCGCCCACTGACCCCTCCGAGCGCCCTCACCTGTCGATGCTCATGGGGTCGACGTCGGCCAGACTGTTCCCGACGCGCTGTCGTTCGGAGCCGCCCGCCCTCTGGCTCGCCTCGCTCTGAGAAAAGTTCATTGGCAGACACCTGGCGGGAAGGCGCGGGGGATGAGCTCAGACTTCAGAGGACGGCCATCTGACACTCTTGGATGAGCCAAGCGGTATACCAACAGTGGATCTAATGATCGAATGAGGGAGCATGACCATAAAACAACTGCTTTAACAATGGCGAACAAAGTCTATGATGATAGACGCTCCCTCAAACGCAATGTGAATGGAATGATTAGATAAGAACGATGTGTACAAAACACGTGAAACTTGCAATCAGAAACACACCTCATTCATTTTGCTTACACTTTATGCATGTGCCATAATTCACCTAATCCTACTGATATTGCTTGGACGCCAGCCATCTCAAACACAACCACTTTAAGTCGGAGTCATTTTCTCCCCCACCACACCGTAAGGCTATCACGTATACAGCATACAGCGCCCTCTTCCCCGGCCCGCGGAGCGACCCGTACTTGTTGCGGAATCCCTGCATGCTGCGCGCCTTGCGCCGCTGGAAGCTGTCCTCTCCGCTGTCGCGGCCGCTGCTGCTGTCCGTTGTGCTCTCGTTGAAGGCCGAGTTCTTGCGGTGGTGGCGGCGGCGGCGCCAGCTCGGGTGCCCGAAGCGCTCCTCTCGCAGCTCGCGGGGGCGTGGCAGCTGCAGAGACTCGTCTGAGGGGACACACCACCGGGCGTCGCTAGGTGTCATACGATTAGGCTGGATGGGGTTTCAGGTGACAACAGGCCAGTGGCCGTTATAAGGTGGAGGTTGGCTGGCGAGAAATGCTCAAAGCGATAGTAGGGTGATGTGCGTCATGCGTTAAAAAACTAAAAGCCCAGTATACGGTGAATCGTCGCATACTCATTATAAAACCAAAATCGCAGCTGAACTCAAGCAGGGTTCGACTTTTTTACCCCACCATGCCACATTTTCACGAGTCGATCACAGCTATGGTGACGACCAGCCATCATTACCTAGCACGGCTTATCAGCAATACGAATTGCGTCCACTGCCGCGCGTTTGTGTGGCTGCGTGACATCTCAAGGTAGCGAAACTGGTTTTTGGCTCGCTCGGACAAACAGTCCAGCAAAACAGGTAAAATGGGCTCTGCATTACCGTACCGTAACGTCTTCCGCGCAACTGATTAAGCGCGAGCAATAAAAACCGGACGGCCCACACGCGACAGGCGACGTCACTGAGTCGGCAACTCCTCCAGTCCGAATGGAAGGACAATAGCAGCACCGCCACTCCTCGATAGTATAGTCATGGATGAAAGAACCTGGATAGGAAACTCCTATTCCTTCAACATTACGGGCAGCGTTCCGGGCGATCGACCTGCCACCTAGCGTTCGGTAAGTATCGGGACTGGAAACTCCCGCCGTTAAGCATTACGGCCTATGGGGGACGCGGGGCGGCATGTTTTGAAACGGGTATTAGACCGCAATGCGGATTTATTTTTAGATTTAGAAGCTATTTAAGACAGACAAAATTGATCAGGCTATCGAATGAGACCAAAACTATTATTGTCCGTTCCGCACAAAAGTCGTACACGAGGGCCGAATACAGGCGACCTTGAAAAAGAGGGCCATTTCTAGTGTTTTTCTCTTACGCAGCGCCGGTGAACGCTTACGCGGCGCCAGTGAATGCGCGGCGGACGCGGCTCCCGCTGCCGCCGCGCGTGCCCTCGGGCACTTACCGAAGGGAACGCAATCAGCTGTTAGTTTCCAATCCAGGTTCTCCTTCATCCATGGTATAGTGGTGAGTATCCCCGCCTGTCACGCGGGAGACCGGGGTTCGATTCCCCGTCGGGGAGCTTTTGTGACCTCACACAGGTCACAAGAGGTCACTTACTCAACATTGTCATCCTCGGAAACATTCATGACACCGGGATCTGCGGGTGAAATAAGGTACTCTATTCCTATAGGATTCCCACAGGAAAGTTACGCCATTGGCTCATAATTTTCGGTCAATGGGTTTCATAGCGTCATGCTCAAAAAGCAAATGCACTGTGGCGTGAAGGCGCTGCCTATTTGTAAAGGATTTGCATTTGGTCTGCCGGTCCGGCGACTCACCCTGGTAAAACTCCGGCTCCCGTCTGTTCTCTCTCAGGTAGTACTTTTTGATGACCTTGGTCTCTGATCGCGCCGCCGAGCGGGCCGCCCTGGGCCGCAGTCGCTGTTCGGGCGGCCGATCCTCCCCGCGCTGTTCCTCTCCCGGCGGCGGGCCGGCCGCGTCCTCCGCCTCCTCGGCCACCTCCTCCTCCTCCTCGTCCGAGTCGCTGCTGGAGTCGCCCACGAACCGGTGCACGCGCCGCGCCGGGCCCGGCTCCTCCACCGTGATGCCGAAACGCTGCGCCGGACGGTGGATGCGCTTCACGCGGGAGTACATGTCCATGCCCTGTGGTGCGAGAGGGATGGAAAAAGGGATACGTAGTCAGAAACGGGGAGAGACAATGCCAAGGCATACAAACGAGGCTACAGTGTGTCTTCCGTTGAAATGCAGCGAAGCTAAAACCCACACAGTTCGCTTCCATTGCGCTTTCAGTTGAGAAGCCTTTCTGAAATGAAGCAATCGAGTAAAAAGAGAATGGGAATAAATAAAACACATTGAAGGCACGAGCTTCCCCAGCCTGACTAGTCCCATCCATCAGACGTGCCTCTCCATCCCCTCCCTTCACCACATGATCCCGCTCTACCCGCTTACGTCATCCTCTGGCAGGGGCGGCAGCAGCACTCGCCGCCGGCTGGAGGGCTCTGCCCGCCGCTCAGCCTCCCCATCATCTGGAGGAGTGGGTGGCGACGGCTCAGACCTGGGCCTGGCCGGCGGCGGTGGCGGCGCGTCGCCAGCCAACTGCTGGCGCCCCGAGTGCGCGATCTGGGTGGTGATCCACGTGTCGCTAAAGTTGTCGTACATCATCTTGCGCTTTCGGCCGCTGCGGCGCACTGGTGGGCAAAGGGGAGAGGTGTTAGTGGCTGAAACTTGAAAGGATAGGCTGGTGCCGTGGCGGAGACGCAATTCGACTATCGCCGTGAGCTCGTCAAATCAGGGATCGCCTGCGGCAAGTGGAAGCAAAAGTTAGCTCGCATGGCCACGTCAGAGGGAGTTGTGTCATGTTATGCAGCAGATACGTTGCCGTGTTACTCGATTCCACCGTTCAGTCTCATTTTCCGAGCTGGCAATACATAGATGTCAGGACCCTGCTTCGCTACCTAGTAAGGATCGTGGTTTCATACAAATTTTCATACAATTAAAGCCAAACTGAAAAAAAAAATACCAATTTCAAACAATGCCCAGCAACTACCATAAAATCAAACTTCGAAACTGGGGTTTTTGATGGGTCTGCAGTTTGCCAGGTTATGGCTCGCACCCCTCTCATCATCCTCATCTCTGATTACCACCCAATCAACAACCCCTCGCTATACGACAACAACCACCCCCGTACTGAAGCACTGTCCACCACAGCCGCTTCCCACCTTCAATCTCGGTGAACTCGACGTTGTAGCGGCGCCGGGAGGGCGGCAGCCGCTCGATGACCCGATGACGTGACGAGCGGAACGGGCTGCCGGTGAATTTGAGCTCACGGTCGCGCCGCTCGCCGTCCCACGAGTCGCTGAACCGCGACAGGGAGCGTCGGCTGTGGGAGCACGAGACACCTACCGAACAGGGGAGGGGGGAGGGGGTAAGTTTACATCAGGGAGACGAGTCACAAAGGCGAGCTGCTAAAACATGGTGAGTGATGAATCGCTGACGGAAAGGACGCATGCCATTATAAAGATTAAGAAAATGTTGAGACACAAATTCCGATACCATAGTAACAATTGGACCAAATTTAGCTACCGTAGTACCCAACGGACGCTAACGATAAAGAAAGACAGGTGGTGTCAAAGCAAATATTCATGAGACTATTCCCAGGGAAATACAGACAGTTCCATTCACCGCTCCTGGTAGGACCATCCACGCAAACTACAGCCAGGCCAGATCGCTACTGACAGGATTCACAGCGCGGGCAGGTGACGCCACTGTCTTTCTGTCTATTGATAAAAGGTGTACCCTGAAGTGGTGATACACGACGAGGCGCGGATGCCTATGTGGGCGGCTATCCGCTCGAGACTAGCAAAAAAAATGTATCCCATTTGACGCCATAATACTGGTTACATCACTGCATATTGATCCACATATTAGGTCGTTCAATAAGTAACGAACAATCGTTCATAACTTCTTTATTTCTTTATTTAACACTTTCAAACTTTTACAGATTATAGATCAGACATTTCTGAATGCAGCCTTTGCCTCAAACCAGTCGCCGCCCGCCTGCACACACTTCTCCCAGCGTTCCGGCCAACGCCGGAATTCCGCCCGGAAAAACGCGTTTTCCGTCTTTTTCACCCAGTTCATGACAGCGCACATGACTTCAGCGTCGGTCTCGAAGTGTTCACCACGGAGGCCATCCCTTAGGGGACCAAAGAGGTGAAAATCTGAAGGAACCAGGTTCGGACTGCAGGACGGCTGCCGGCTGGGGCATGATATTCAGCCCTGTCTCGCGATCTCCTCGCGTGTGGCGTGAGACATGTGCGGACGAGCGTTGTCATGGTGTCATCCTGGTGGGCTTTCTTGAACCTGGGCGGACTATGGACAGCGGGCCGCTACATCGCAGTCCTGCAGGAGACTGAGAAAAGCAATCCTGAAGAAGAGGCGCGGCTCGGATGTCAACAACATCACCATACACCATGACAACGCCCGACCGCACTTGTCTCACGCCACGCGCGAGGAGATCGCGAGACAGGGCTGAATATCATGCCCCAGCCGCCCTGCAGTCCGAACCTGGTTCCTTCAGATTTTCACCTCTTTGGTCCCCTGAAGGATGGCCTCCGTGGTGAACACTTCGAGACCGACGCTGAAGTCAGGTGCGCTATCAAGAACTGGGTGAAAAAGACGGAAAACGCGTTTTTCCGGGCGGAATTCCGGCTTTGGCCGGAACGCTGGGAGAAGTGTGTGCAGGCGGGCGGCGACTGGTTTGAGGCATAGGCTGCATTCAGAAATGTCTGATATATAATCTGTGAAAGTTTGAAGGTGTTAAATAAAGAAATAAAGAAGTTATGACCGATTGTTCGTTACTTATTGAACGACCTAATATATATGGCCTTGGATTGATCCTCTCTAGTTCCGTGCAAACGGATTGCCAACTGTCCGCACTCCGCTACTTTGGATCTCGTGAGGCACTGATGAAGCATCTTCATTCCCTCACTTCTCAGGTAACGCACGATAGGCCCTCCCATTGGTCCAGGTTCCAGCGTCACCCGGCGCCCTCCCACTCACCCATGGCGCCGCCGAGGGTATCTGCCGAGCCGGAGGCGGCAGCGGTGGGGCTGCCGGGCCGACCGCGCGTCTGACGCCGGGCCGCCGGTCCCGCCATCTGCCGCTGCGGGCGCCGCTCAGCCCCGTCCCCGTCCTGCGGCTCTTCCGAGCCATCAGCCTCCTGATTAAACGGGGAACGTCAGAGGTGGACAATAGGTATTGCTCTGGTGGTACTGAAGCTTTGCAATCTAATGTACCCAGAATGTGTGCTAAGCACTGCAACACGCTGTCGCAGAATTGACCTACCAATGCATGGCATACCAATGCGCGTTTGCATGACATACCAATGTACCATGAAACCACCATGAAAACCACCAATAACATCATGTAGGACATAAGTTGCCCTTAGCATTGAACAGCACTTCATTTTTTTAAAGAAGGCAGGATGAAAGGATTGCCTTGCTCTGAAATGTTACCAGGTCCCCACTTGCAAAATCCTTACCATCAGCAATTTTCCAATTGTGTCCACATACTTAATTCCTACAATTTGTTTTATAATGCCAGCATAGAATCATATGGTCCTATTAGTTACTATACCAAGTAAATTGTTTACCAAACTACTAAAGCAGGACAGTGCAGAAGCCCACCTAAGTAGAGTGGTCAACTGAGAGCAAATAGCAGGTACAAGGACTTTAAGGCCGGGGGGATCCAGGGCGTCGCAAGTCCATCTACGACACGTCGCAAGTTACGACACATGTCCCGTCGCAAGTTGTGTCGTAGCGGAAAAGGAGGGATGTTGAGGAAAGAGGGGTTTGTCGGAGGATACGACAGAACGTAGCTGCGACGAGGCTTAAATACCCGCTTTACTCGAGAATTTAACAGGCTACACGATCAGCTGATCCCGTAGTAAACGTCAGTAAGGTCGAAAACTCTATCACGCATAAAGGAACATTCGCCCTTCTGGCTTGCGAGCTTATGAGACAGCAAGGTCAAGCATGTTCTCTGATTCTGAAGCTTTGTATTAACTGGGTGACTTGTGGTTGCTAACGCTTACGTGATTTGCCATAAAATTTGGGATCGATCACAGGAGATTCGTGGCTATAGGGCATCTAGAATCGATCGATGCTTTAGAAGAAATGAGTTGAAAGAGTTTGAGGTCACAGAGAGGTAATAAATTTGTATATGGAGGTCACAATTGGAGGTTACAGAGGTCATCTGGGACACGTCAGGTCACAGAGGTCAACTTAGGGTCATCACAGAGCTCAATTGGAGACCACGGAGGTAATCTGAGACACGTCAGGTCACAGAGGGCAACTTGGGGGCACGTCAGGTCACAGAGGTCAACCTAGGGTCATCACAGAGCTCAATTGGAGGTCACGGAGGTCATCTGGGACACATCAAGTCACAGAGATCAACTTGGGGTCATTACAGAGCTCAATTGAAGGTCATTGGGGCCATCTGGGACACGTCAGGTCACAGAGGTCAGCTTGGTGCCATCAGAGAGGTCACATAGAGGTCACAGAGGTCATATGGGACACGTCAGGTCACAGAGGTCAACTAAAGGTCATCAGAGACCTCAATTGGAGGTCATCTGGGACACATCAGGTCACAGAGGTCAGCTTGGAGTCATTAGAGAGCTCAATTGGAGGTCACGGAGGTCATCTGGGACACTTCAGGTAACAGAGGTCAACTTGGGGTCATCACAGAGCTCTATTGGAGGTCATGAGGGTCATCTGGGACACGTCAGGTCACAGAGGTTAGCATCGGGTCATCATAGAGGTCACTTAGAGGTTACAGAGGTCATATGGGACACGTCAGGTCACAGAGGTCAAGTTGGGGTCAACACAGAGCTCAAATGGAGGTCATCTGGGACACGTCAGGTCACGGAGGTCAGCTTGGAGTCATCAGAGAGCTCAATTGGAGGTCACGGAGGTCATCTGGGACACGTCAGGTCACAAAGGTCATGTTGAGGTCATCACATAGCTCTATTGGAGATCATGGGGGTCATCTGGGACACGTCAGGTCACAGAGGTCAGCTTGGAGTCATCAGAGAGCGCAATAGGATGTCACGGAGGTCATCTTGGACACGTCAGGTCAAAAAGGTCAACTTGGGGTTATCACAGAGCTCATTGGAGGTCATCGGGGTCATCTCGGACACGTCGTTTTTGGAATTGGGAGAATGTTTTGGGGGATGCCCCTTGCAACATCCAAGACCGCCTTTCTGGATTTGCCAGTAGTTGCTGGAATGGTGTTAGGCTACTTCATATACCCGAATACCCCAATAAATGTGAATATAACATATTATGCACCATTTTCAACACTCCCGCTGGCACGGATTGAGGCCTCATAGACGACCCGTGAGTTCAAGCTCTATAACTCGCGTTAGCGTCAACGGATTGCAACCAAATTTTCAGGATCTAAAGTTTAAACAATTTTACACCTACCATGTAAATTTCGTGACCATGACCCGAATGACCTGTGACCTGTGACCTCTTCCTCAAGGAAAGGTCAACTTGCGACACAACTTACGACTGCTATTTCAAATTCGTAAGTTGTGTCGCAAATCAGGCTATTTGCGATAGACTTTACTACTTAAGTAACGCTACTCATCGATTGATCCCTTCAAAAACGACTTACTACACAACTTCCGACACGTCGCAGCTACGACGAGGCTTACGACGCTCTGGATCCCCCCAGCCTAAGAGTAGGTGACTAAGGTACAAATAATAAAAATAGATAGGTAAGCGACATTGCTCTTACCTCTTTCATTTTCTTTGGTGGTGTGTCATCTTCGCCCCTGGAGTGCCTAGTCAAAACCATTTTAATATTCTTCCAGAAACTCTTTAAAGTAAATAATCAATGCCCTAGTTTCAAAATACTGTAGCTATATAGCAAGCATAATCTCTGTGGACAGCTCATTCACCACCCTCACCAGGTGAGAATATCTGAAGCTAGCATCCCAGGGGCATAGTTTGCATTTGATATTGTCATTTCTTTTGGAATTCCTGAAACAGGTAGTGATTCACATCTTAGACAGTTCATTCTCATCTCAGATCATGATCACATACATGTTATTTGCTTTGAAATGGCAAAACAGGCACAATGAACTCATAGAACTCCCACTGTGTTTCACATGCCTGCATTATCTACACATGAAGTTTGGAAAATTGTGGAATTGTGGCTCACTGTCAAAAGTTGTTTGGCTTCAAGTTCATTATCAAAGCTGCCACATGACATGATTATCAGCAAGTGCTGCACCTATCACCATCAAACTAATTTCTACCACCCAAATCTTCATTTCTTATTTGTACCTGATAAATCAATGAAAATTGACTTACAAAATGAGCATACTGTATTTGTAATGATGTCACTAGATGCAGCTGGCACCCATGACCCAGTGTCTTTACGATGACACCAGCCACCAACTGTCAACAAATCTAGGGAACATTCTTTTTCATGGTCACCAAATTCTGAATTGTGTACCTAGGTTTTTCTATTCATATTTCATGGCATGTTATATTACATTATAATGCAAGTTCAACCACATGTAAATTGTAATTGTCACTGATTCAACACATTGTTACAAAACAATTAATGGAATTAATCTATTTGTCAGTCCCTGATTAATGGAATTAATCAGGGATTACAATTAACTAGTTCTAAATCCTGATTAATGGAATTAATCAGGGGCAATTCATAAGTTAAAATTTAAAAAACTTCAATTTGAATTTTCGTCAAGCTCATTTTTGGTCTGAACCCTTTTTTGCTGGCATAAATGCGTGACCAGTTGAACAATGTGTCAAAAGCCAGCCACTTTTGAAAAACGACCTATAATAGCAAAAAAGGGGCTGCTGACAAGACATGATCATGATATCTATCAAAATCCATGCTTGACTGACGCCTTCGTCTTCCAAAATCCTAATAATCAGTAAAACCATCTTCAACAGAGAATAAAAGCCCAAAACCAACCCAAAACCAACCCAAAACCACAAGATAAGATCTCCCACAAAACCCTGCAAAACGGCAAAAACAAACCCAAACCCGAAACCTTGCCCGAAACCCCCGAAATTGCCAACCAACCAACTCCGACACCCAAAAACAACAACCTCCACTTTTTGTTCACACAGAACAGCTACACGTAAGAGTAGTAAAGCAGAAGACCCCTACCGCTACACTCAAACCAGTAGCAGCATGAGGCTTTTCTAACGCTTGACGGTAATCTCGGTAGAACTCCGTAGTTGGACCAGAAGTAATTCTACTCAATCTACTGTCCTCAGTTTTTTATATCTAAGCGAAACTCAGTCTTGAAAAGACAAGGACTTCCCGCGCTTGATTGCTTTGGTAAGAAGTAAGAAATGAATCTCTGGCTTTTGGGACAACTTTCGCTACTTTCATATGCAAGAAAAGGAAAAAAATGATGAGCAGTCTGCCGCAGAGAAACAAAAGCTAGCGTAACAGCCTTCCCTGCAGGTTGCAGTCATGTATGATGTAACGGATGTAACTACCGGTTTGAGGCTCATAGTAATGTGAGTATAAGAGGTGCAAGTTACCCTGCCCACACAAACCCATTCGGGCAGCCCAAATGCAATAACCCGGTTTACATAGCATATTTGACGAGGCTCTAGCTCGTTAATTTGGCGATAATTTCGTTGCAGTGGTCTTCAAATATTTAGAGGGGATCATTTTGTAAATTGTTAAGCACCATTGGCATCTTTTGCAACATCACGGACGGAGATATAAGCTTGCAACAAACCCTATGTACCTAAACCGGGTTAATACCTACCTACTGATTTACTGAATACGCAGTGCTTTCCGCGATAACTAATTTTCGGACCTGCGATAACGATAAAACGATAGGTAAGTAAGGTTTGCGATAACGATAAACGATAAACGATAAAAATTTGCAAAAAATTAACAGCGATAGCGATAAAACGATAAAACGATAACGGTAATTGTTTTTTTTTTAAACAGCGATAACGAAACGATAAACGATACAACGATACCGATAATTGTTTTTAACAGGGATAACAAAAGCGATAAGAAATACAGCTTAGATAAGTGTACCTACTTAAAGTTAATTTGCAGATCTATACACTTAGCAGATGCCAACAGGTTGCGCACACATACTGTCGCGCGGCATACACTGTCGATCGTCTTCCATTTTTCCATCATCCCGTTTTACATTTTATCGTTTATCGTTCATAATTTTTGTAACTTGCGATAAGTGGATGAGCGATGATTTTGAAAATTTAGCGATAAACGATAACGATAACCGATTTACTTAACAGCGATAATTATCGTTTATCGTTTATCGCTCATCCTATCGCATGCAGAAACCACTGTGAATACGCATAGGTATATCTACGTGATATCCACTGGCGGATCCAGGCTTGCGTTTTTTGGGGGGGGGGGCAACTCATGCAGGAGCCAAACCTAGGGTACCCCCAAATCCTGTTTTCTCATCGGATTTAGGCCACTTATTTTTCGTCACAGCCCTGACACTATGATTTTTTTTAACTAAAAAGAGAAATATATAAATGGTAGCCCACCCGACCCATGCCTTTATATTACTTTGTAAACACTTACCATTGCTTTTGTCGACCAGTTAACCCGCTTCGAGTCAGTACTTGGGTCCCTTTGCGGGCCGGGAGGTGGTAAAACACCCCCTGTCTAACTCGGCTCCTGGGCCACGCACTGATTGAACTATGTTTCATTATCGTTTGGGGGAGGGGGCAAACGGGCCACTTTAGGCCTCTGGGAAGGGGGCATGGCCCTAAATGCCCCCTCCCTGGATCCGCCAGTGTAAGAGACCATTGGAGCTGCAGTTGGGTACCTCAGACGTCAGGGTACGCCCTCAGATGTATAGGACTCGCATGGAGACCTCTTATGCTATAGTGGACTGAAAGGACCCAAAGGAGGCTGTCTAGGGCTCCCGGAGATAGACGTGGGCCCTCAGGAGCCCGCCAGAGCCACCAATGAGGGATAAGTGAGGGATACCAAGATTCACTGAGCTGGAAGGTGCAGGAGCACCGGGTCTGCAGGTGCATTATAATGCACACTGCCCCACAAGCACCTTAGTAGGGAAAGGTGCCTAATTAGCTACCCTCTTAGTTTGGACCATCATTGTTTACGCCCTAAAAGTCCCACTGTATTGCTGACTTGATTTTCGGAGAGATCGTTTATTTTTCTATTGAATTCTATTCATTTTCTGTCCCAAAATCTGCGAAGTTATTTGTAGCGAGCATTTGCGGAAACCATTGAAAAAAGCGCTTAACCCTATTAGTGGCAGGGGGGGGGGTTGTTTTCATCCACCCCTCAGGTTTTTCGGGAATATCTCCGAAACCGCTGAAGCTACAATGCTGAAATTTTCTGACTTTTCCTAAAACTAAATTGGGCACATTCCCTGAAAATTTCAAGTTCATAACTTTACCAGGGGCGGCTCCAGAGCACTGGGAATTGGGGGGTCCTATTCGTGAAGCGAGTCATTTGGGCGAAGATCACGATGCTGCACCAGTTTTACGAACAGTGAATGAAAGGTATCATGTGATAACATATACAGTTATTGTGCATCCTCTTTTGACACGTTTTTGCTATAATAGGCGGATCCAGGCGTCCAAAAAGGGGGGTTATGTTTTACCTCCCAACATAGGTGCCCTGACACCGCCTATGCATGACCAATACAATTGTAGCCGTTCTCTCATAAGAAAATTGTAACATAACAAGACCATTACCACCCTTTTTAGAAACAGTACCAACAAAAACCTTATTTACTATACTTTTTGTGTACCCCCAATCTCAATGATCTGTATCCGCCTATGATTTTTGAAAATGCATATTTTTAGGATCCATGTGAATTCCTGGTTCATTCTCTATCGATCGGCAAAAGTTGCGTTAAGATTGGTTCAGAAACCTGGCCGTGATAAACTGTCTAAAATGTATCTGCAATATGCCCGTTTTTACCCCCCGTCTACCCCCCCCTATTGACATTTTTTAATTTTTATTTTTTAGAAAAGTAGATCACGTTGAGCGAAATCGAATGCCGTTTGAATTTTGAAAATCGGCCCGTTAGATCTCGAGATATCAAGGGGGGTCGTAAACAGCCCCCCTGCCACTAATAGGGGTAGCCAGGAGCCTGCCACTAATAGGGTTAAAGGGAACTCGTCCCGATTAGCGACCGCGGAGGGTCGCTAATAGGTCTATGGGGTTTCCCATTAAAAAATGGCAAAAAATGCGACGCCTGAAAAATCAAATATGACCCTAAAAACGTAAACCATACGTAAAGCACTCAATCAGTCGAACACGAACGTTTATCTTGTACGCTTATGAAAGTGAAAAACCGATCACAATGCACCAAAGGCGAAAAGGATGCGAAAACCCAGATTTTGCGGGCTATCCCGTGTGGTATTCCAGGCCTGCATCATGGGCGTAGGAACCTCACGAAAAGTGGGGGGGCCAGCGAAACTTCAATGTCACTTTGTGGGAGCCCCAATACCCCTATGAAGAAATTCTTTGCAGTTTTGTGCTCATCTCACCTTGCTGAATCATTTGCTGCTCTTAGTTTTGTATTTAAATAAAAAATAAAGATTTTACTTTAAAAAATGGCTAAAAAGTGGGGGGGCCATGGCCCCCCCGGCCCCCCTGTTCCTACGCCTATGCTGCATTTGATACGACATCCCTGCAGTCGGTAATTTGGCATCATCCGCCACACATTGCAAGCTTCAGCAACACCGCATTTTTATTTTTTCTCTTTCCCCTTTCTTTTCCTTCTTGAGTTGTTTGTGACCATGTCAGGCGCAAATAGGAAATATGGGTTGCGACACATTTATGTATAACCACCATGCATTGCGTAGTTAACCGATTCACTACGGGAAAGCTGCAACCAGTTGAAAAATGATTCTCGATTCAAATTAAAAAAGGTGCATCATCTTCACGTGCATCGCTTTTCATCAGACATGGCACAAATGCACACATTTTGAATAAGAAACCGGCCATTTTCGTTTAAACTCGCAGTTCGCACCTAAAATGTCCCATCACAAGTAATGATAACCGGAAATGAGTTCATCCTGATGAACAAAGTATGGCAGTGCAGTTCTTTTGATGTTATTTTCCCGATTCCTCACACCAGCTCTTCTGTAGGGAGGTAGGTCGCAAATAGGAAAGGGTCGTAATTAGGCACCTTTCCTACCTATATACTTGTGGGGCAGCCTGAGGGGCGGCAACGTCTCGTGTTTCTTGCCCGTACACTTTTTGTGTACGGTCAAAGGCAACGGACCATAATAACGGGCGACTTCAACTCGAGAGCGGCCTGAATTTATGTCAGTCAACTTACCAATGCATCGTATTCGTATATATAGCGAGTTCCAATTAACCCCAAATTAACAGTTAGGTACGCTCAAATTGACCATGCTGAAAACGAATGAGGAACTCAAACAGTTGCG